CCCATTGATTGTGATTTCTCTTTATGGTGAAGATATCGTAAGAAGCATCCAAAAGTTGATCCCAAGGCCATCAAGAACTGGGCAAGGCAGATTCTTAAAGGCTTGCACTTTTTGCATTCTCAGACCCCTCCTGTAATCCACCGGGACCTCAAGTGCGACAATATATTTGTCAATGGAAATACCGGAGAGGTCAAAATTGGAGATCTTGGACTCGCAGCTGTTATGCAGCAACCCACTGCTCGAAGTGTGATAGGTAATAAGTACTATTAAACCTGTTCACTCTTATTGTATTGAATCTATAGGCAGAAACTGAATATTTTGAGTATGTTTAGGTACTCCTGAGTTCATGGCCCCCGAGCTCTATGAAGAAGAGTACAATGAACTTGTGGACATCTATTCTTTTGGCATGTGCATGCTGGAGCTGGTTACATGTGAATATCCATATAGCGAATGCAGAAACCAGGCTCAAATATACAAGAAGGTTACCTCGGTAAGTCTGCTCTGATATTTATTTAAGTCTTACATTTTTCTTTGACACTCGGGCACCTCTTTGAACTGTTGCGTTTGCAGGGTGTTAAACCTCAATCTCTTAGCAAAGTTGGTGATCCTCAAGTTAAGCAATTCATAGAGAAGTGTCTACTCCCAGCTTCTTCTAGACCAACTGCTCTAGAGCTCCTCAAGGGCATGTTCCTTGCAGTAGATGGCCCCAAGGACTCCTCCGCTCTTGTTGCTTCATCAAACGCAACAATTAAACCTGCAAAGCCACCACAGTCTGAACATCTTCCTATGGATGTGGATCATAAGGAGAATGCAAGTGTTTCCATCTGCTCCTCTGGTAAAAGCTGCCAAGAATATCAACCATGGCTCCATACCATTGAAGTCCAGAGGGTTGCTGAAGAGACCAAATTCAGGTTGAGTGGAGAGTGGAAAGATGATGCGACAGCGTCAATGGCTCTGCGTATCGCTGGCTCAACAGGTCAAGCAAGAACAGTTGATTTTGAGTTCTATCTGAAGTCAGACACAGCAACAGCAGTGACAGAGGAGATGGTTGCAGAGCTTGATCTATCAAGCCAAGAGGTTATTGTGATAGCCGAGATGATAGGTGAACTGATAGCAAAGCTGAAGGCTAACCGAAGCCCGCCGAAGGATGAAGAAGCTGGGGAATCAATGAAGTCAGACATATCGGCAGACTACTACTATCCGGGCTCCTCAAACGAGGGTTCAGGGATTGGGTGGTGCGAGGCAGAAGAGTCTTTGATGTCTTCGTTCCTCGATTCGTGCTCGGTGGTGCGCACAAGCGAACACACAGAGGATCTGAAGACTGAGCTGAGCGTGATTGAGTCTCATTATAACGACTCGTTGCAACAACTCATGAGGCAGAGAGAGGAAGCTGTAGAGAAGGCAAAACGGAAATGGACGAATCGGCCAAAGTGCGCACAAGGTTTGAGTTAACGTAGCCACACAGTTTTGCTGCTACTCTCTCTCTCTTTTTGGTCTGCTTCATTTCCCTGCTCTTTGGTCATATTGTAATTATTATGCAGTTTTGCATCACAAAGAAGCAGTTTGAACGAATGAAATGACTTGGAGTGATGTTATATCAAATAGCTTCTGCTAATTAGCTCCTTGGTACATATATAATAAGCTTTGATAATGAAGTAAAATACAACAAATTCGAATTGCCATAGACAGATCCAATTAAACAATAAAGAGATAATAAATAAATATCCAAAGAACCAATCATGATGTTTTGCTTTTTCGACGAAACAAAATAAAGTATTCAAAAATTCTGTGTCACATCACATCACATGAAAGCACCGACGACAGCGCAAGCAACGGCAATGGCGAAAGCAGAAATCGACGAAGAAGACGATTTCTGAGAGAGAGGAATCGACCCGAAGACGTTCTGGTAAGAGGGAGCGTCGGCGTCGGCGGCAGACGACGGAGACAATGCGTCTGCTTCGGCGGCGTAGGTTCCGACGGAGACGAGGAGCTTCTGGTACTTCTGACAATTGCCGGGACTTCCACTGGTGAAGTAAAAGGTTCCGTTTTGGGTGAGGTTGAAGAGAGAGTTTCCGTCGTTCATGTACAAGATTGGATCTTTGGTGTTGCAGCTCTTGAAATTGGAAGCAGTCACTTGAATCAGCGAATCCTCGCTTGGTGGGTACAAGAACACTGTTTGGTTTTTGCAACTTCCAGTGATTAGATTATTATTATTGTTAAAAAAAGAGTTGCAATTTGAAGGAGAATCAATCAACTGATTGTACTTACAGAGGGAGTCACCGATCTTGAAAGAGTGAGATTTGGGCCATTTGGAGTACACTTTAGCATCGATTGGGACACCCCATGAGTCCAAGTCCCCAACTTTGTATAGAGTCGACGAAGCTTTACCAATCTCTTGTCCTAACAATACGAGCAATAACAACACCATCATGCTGCTCAACCTCATCACTCCCA